TAAAGCTTGCTGTATTGGGGTCTACGATCTCCTGTACGCAGGGGTCATTTCGTAGAAAAAGAGGTGCAGGAGCTTATTAGCACAACTCATTAGCATAACTTATTTGCATATGCCACACCCCCTGACATCGTCGGAAGTGTGTCAGAAGGCAGCACCCACTGCTCAGGCTCCACCCCAAAAATCTCCAGGTATTTCCCAACTCAGATTCAAACCTGGGTCTCCTGAATCCTTGTCTGGAACACTAACCACTACACAACACTTCACGGGGCAGCGGCTGTTGAGCAGTAGCAGGCAGCTGGGCCTGCATGAGTTATGCAAGTTGCATGGTCCCTGCTGTCAGGCCTGACATGCTCTCACCCCCTGACAGAACCAAATGCTTGAAGGCTGGGAGAGATAGTAATTAAAAGGGTACTGTTTATAGCAGTCTTGAGGAGCATGCGTTCTATTGCACCTTCACACACATTAAGACCAGACAATCCCAAACAGACATCACCCCAGCAGCCATGTACACAATGCATCCCATGTTCGCCATCTACCATCAAGACAAGTCATTGATCACTCCCCCTGGACCCTGGCATCCCCACCCTCATTCAGCCCCAGCCCCCTCCCTTCACCTCACACTGCTCCGCTTGTGCTTCTACTCGGAAGTAAGTAAGGGTTCTTTTAAAAATTATCCCCCCCTAATTTAAATGCCTTCCTGTTATGTGCGTGGACCACCACCAGGGGTCCGTGGCTACAGACAAGAGCTTAGCTCCTACAGACAATAGGAACTTAGGATCCTAGTTCCCCCAGCATGAACCAATAGGAACTTTGGCGGGAAATTCAAACCCTCCAATGGGACTGTTCCTATCTATACCTTGTGGCTAATAGCCACTGATGGATTTCTGCTCCATATGATTATCCAATCCGCTCTGGAAGCTGACTTTGCTTGTAGCCACCACCACTTCATGTGACAGTGAATTCCATGTGCCCCAAAATAAATCCTGGCTACTGGCCTGGGGAGAACCCTCTCCCAGCTCCCCCTCCTCCAGGCAGGCAAGCTGCGGGGCCGGGCCATGCCTTCTCCGCCTCCCGACCAGCCGGCCAGCGCAGCCAGCGGTGCTTCCAGCCCAGCCCTGATTCAAGCCCCTCTCCGCTGCTCCGTGCTGCCAAGTCAGATGATGAGGCCATGGGGGAAGGCAAGGAGAGGCCTGCAGGGCTGCTGGCTGGCAGACAGGGAAAGGGCGGCGGCAGAGAGTCCTCCAGGCAGCCCAGAGAGTCAGGGGGCCTGCGCTGCCAAGGAAGTCAGGGGGCCTTAGCAGGAAGATAGGGGGCGGG